CAAAGGTTACTAATTTGTTTTCCAATTATCGTGATATAGGCTTACATAATGTTTCTGAGTAAAAAAAAAAATAATAAAAAATAAAAAAAATAACCATTTCTCAGAAATAGACCTGATAAGGGAGTTCAGTCACTGATAGCTATGCTGTGTCATTATCAGTCCCATGTTTCTTGTTTTCTCTCATATGTATGCATTGTTTTTCAGAAAGGCGAGAGGAAAACACAATATCTATATATCTATTGGAATCATGCTGTTAATATTTGATTCAGTGTTCATGGCATTCACCTAGAAAATGCCAATAACTGGCTGCAATTAAACTAACTCTTCCAAATACAATCTGTATTTTAATGCCCAATTATGTAAAGCATATGCGATCAAACTATAGCTACAGATACAGCTATAGTAAGTGTATTGATTAAAAAGGTAATTACCTGTTGAATAATAATGTACAACCAGTGTCAGAATAATGCAAGGTGAGATACATGGCTCAGTATCCTTCACAATATAAAATAAATATGAGGGTTTAAGTTTGTACAATTCTCTATAAAATGTGCTAGTGCTTGATAAACTGAGAGGCATGACTCATTCTATATACAGGCATGCAAGCTTAATGTACTTAACACTGTAATTTATATTAAGAACATGTATGTTAAAGTCTGTCACACTGCTTAGTATCATTGTAATAACTGGCTGTGTTTTTCTATAGTTGAATAAGTCTTGTATGTATATATATATATAGATATTTCTTCTTGTCTTCAGTTGATTGATATATATACGTCTTGGGCCAAATGCTCGCCACAATAATATATGTCTATATTATTGAAAATTAGTAATACGCAATCTGACGTTCTTTATAAAAAATGAGTATTTATTCTACATTCAACAGGAAACAGTTATATATACTTAACAGATGGTAATTCTTAACGATGTTACAGAGAGTCGTCTTGACATCAGAGAGGAGAGCAAACGGATCGTAGCAGGAAGAGAGTGTAATCCTTTGTCCTTGACTCTATATACCCCAAATTACGTCATAATGTTTAGTTTAGACCCTGCCATATAAGGAAGTTCCCTATATAAAGACCGCCTCAAATCTCTTATACAGGAAATTCCAGAGACCTCATATTACAGAGTAGCAAACACCATCTGTTCTGTTTAACCCATTAGACAGCCACACCTTAATATGTATTTGAATAGGAACATACAGAATATGCAATATTCTACATTTCCCTCTGTTTATGGTTTATTTATAAACCATAATAATGTTATTTACCTGTCCATTCATACATCATTCGTATCACATTTCATATCACATTCGTTGGGTATAAGAAGAGATGTGTTCATAGCTACCTGGTATCTGAGATTCCTTGGAAGTATTGTGTATTACCCTGTTTACAGTTTCCTTTAGTGTATTCTCCTTCTGTTTTACCTTTTCATTTACGAGTATATACAGTTTTCTAATTCTACATTGCATAATTACTTGTAAAACAATACATATTATAGATACACATATAACAATAATAAATGGATGAAATAAAATATTTACAATTGCTGATCCCACAGATGATTTAGCAAGTGTGTTTGTGCTTTTAATTATGTCATTCCACCAAGAGGAACTAGAAACAATTGACCATTCATGTTCTATCTCCTTTAATTTACCCTGTTCATGTTCAAATTGAATTTCTGTTTCTTTCAACTGTTTTTGTAACGAATATAATAATATCTTGTCTTTCCTAATCTCATCTGCCCACTTTCTCCATGGAAACTCATTTGTTTGTGAAACATTTAATTGAATAGGCATAATATCTATATCTTGTATAGGACTCTTTGATATGTTAACTTGAGTTCCTTGTATATGTATTATTAGTGGACCCCCATTGATACAATATAACCCTTTCTGTAATGTTTCTGAATGTGTACATTCTGAAAATGTAGCTCTTACTAACTCATTATTTGACATAACCTGTACACATACTTTATCTTTTTCTATGGGAGTTACAATTTCATGAGGATTTCTAACTGTTTTAATTTTACCAGAACATGAACTTTGGTTATGAAAACATGAATGATAAATGGTTTCAACTTGGTTATTTAAACATATTATTTTGGATGGAAAATGTAGACAACTAGAAAGATCTACCTGCTCAAGTTCAGTAATGTTGTTATAAGATACAAAATCAGGATATTGTAATTTATAAAATAATAATTGTGTGTTACTAATAGGAATTCCTAATACCGACATTGAAAATAGTGTTTTTTCAATACCAGAAATTGGTATTAAAGAAGAACTTATACATATGTCATTGTTACATCCCAACCATTTGTTAACCCATAAATCTGTATGTTTTTTTAGCGAACGCAAACTCCTCAGGTAAACTACGTTTGAGTTCTATAGGAGTAGTACCACCTTGTAATGCTTGTGCCATCACCTTAACATCTGTAGAATATTCAACTTGTATCTCTAAACAAGCTTTGGCTACCTGGGATGAATCTGCATTTCTCATTAATGCCAAAGTAGCTTCCTGTAAATGTTGAACAGAGGGTGCAATAACAGAGGCTGTGTTCATAACCATATTTTTCAATATTTGATTTAAACCTCTTTGAATATGCAATCCTTTTCCCCCTATTAACCCTACAGTTCCCAAATCATTCTTTAATGTTTGAATATCCATAGAATTGGTGATACTTCCTATAGTACCAAATCCAGCCATAATTCCTTCTACTATATCTCTTTTTTTTCTGTTTGATACTTTACTTCCTCCAAACCAATGTTCTAAGCCTCGTTCCATATTTAATAAATGTTCCTTACATTGTGGAAATTTACTTGAGATTTTCCACTGAGAAACATTAAAATGCCAAACTATTGTTGCAAATTTCCCATCTAATAACAAAGGCTTTGATTGAAAATGATTCAATTGAAAGGGACTTGATAACTTAAAAACCTTATTTTTGCATTCTACCATTCTGGGCGAGAATACATTTATCTTAACAACACCACATCTCTCATGATGATTTCTTAACATTATACAGCATTGATAGTTTCCACTATCACTGTAGGTAGGATTGTCTAAATAGAAAACAAACATTTCTTCCGACCAATCCACCTTTCCTAGTACACCTCTGTGAATAACCTTTGGCGTTGTATGTGACATACTACCCAAAAACATTCCTTCCCTTTTCCATGTCATTACAGACTCAGGGGGTAAACTTATATGTGTACTACATGTTAATCTAAGTCTTTCCTTTCCTTCCTGGATATCTACAAGACTAGGTTTCATTATGATATCTCGCATAACATAATCAGTTACCAGAAACATCATGTTAACTCTTACTGTCAATGATTCCCTAGATGCTCGTATTTCCCATATCCAAGGTATACCTGGAGTATTGTTTTTTAAGAGGAATTCTGGCTCTAAATGTATAAGCCAGTATTGTATTGTATAAAGTACCTCACCACCTCGTCCTCGCGTTGTTACAGAAGTTTGTGCAACGTTCACATACATGTCACCTGACCAATTTACCATTTCCTCTCTATTAACTACAATCATGATATATGCATTTTGTAATATGTTAAGTTCCCATGATCCCGTTTTTACACTGTCTTGTACAAATGAACCTTTGGTCCAACTAAATAAATCATTAGGACCTATTGTAATGTTTAAATTAATAACACTATCTCCAGTGAAATTAATTCGCACATTGCATACTTGTAGATAGCCATCTTTTGTCCCGAAACAAACATGACCTTTTAATACTTGTTCATTGTCTCTCTTTTTTCTAATATTTCCAAATAAGTCATTCTTTAATTCCTGATTGAAAGTCGTTTTGTTCATCTTAAAAATAACTATTACAAGAACTGTAGTCATCAATGTTAGCAGGATGCTGACGAACACCTTCTTTCTGCTACACGGTTGTCTTTGCGAACACATCGTCTGTCACCGGCCAACTTTCGTCTGTAGGTCTGCTTACAAATTATCTAAAATAAACTAAGAAAAACAAAGCAGTATCAATATATTACCAAATTATGTTGTAGGTTTATACAATTTGCACTGATCTGCATGAACCCAAAAACAATTTTGCCTCCGTTTATTCCGTGAACCATCAAGAGGTCTTTGCACTTGTACCATTGTTTGTCCCATTGTATCTGTTATGTTATAAGGACCTTCCCAATTTGCCTCCCAAGGTCCAGTTTTCCTAAAAGTTTTTATCATGACCATACCCCCCTTTAAAAACTTTGAAAAATCAGGAGGTGCCATTTTGCACATACGAGTAGCTGCATGTGGCAGAATTTGCTCCAAATTTTCCTGCAGCATTTGCAACCATTTATTTTTAGCAATTGCATCTTTCTGGGGAGTAGACAAATATGGTTCATTAGGAAAATTTAACTGCATTTTCCTACCTGTCATCAATTCAAATGGAGTGTATTGTGTAGCTGAAGACATAGTGCCTCTAATACCCATAAGTACAGCAGGAAGTGCCTGTACCCATGTGTTGCCTTTCTCAAGTAACATTTTTGAAAGTCTAGATTTCAATGTTCGAGTCATACGTTCCACAATCCCAGCAGATTGTGGATGATATGGAACATGGAATCTCTGCTCTATGCCTAGAATAGCACACAGTGCTTGCATGATTTTCCCTGTGAAATGGGTACCTCTGTCTGACTCTAGAAGTCTAGGAAATCCCCATCTTGAGAAAATGTGTGTCCATAATGCTTCAGCCGTTTTTTGTGAATCATCTTTAGTCAGAGGAATTACTTCTAACCATTTAGAGAATACATCCACAACTACTAATCGCATATTTTAATCCATTCTTACCTGTTGGTAATGGCCCAATAAAATCAATTTGTAAAGTAGTCCAAGGACCATTTGCAGGTGCTATACGTTGTATAGGCGGTTTTTGTCCTTTAGGTCTGGGATTTATTTGTGCACATATCAAACATGATTGCACTACCTGTTGTACAGTCTTTTCCATGTTATCCCAATAAAACTTATCTCTGTGTACCTCTAACAATTTCTGCTGTCCAATGTGACCTAAACTTTCATGATTATATTGAGTAAATAACACTTTTAGATGTTCTGGCATGACCGGACACAGTTCTCCGTTTTGGTCATGACACAAAACCCCGTTCTCATGAACAAATGGAGGTTTTGGATCAACCCGAGAAGCCGCAATGGACGAATCCTTTGCCTGTTCTTCTGCAAAAGATGGAGGCTGTGTGTTAGTCTTTCTAACCACTGCTACTGACATAGGTTCTGTCTGCAATGCATTTTCACCAGTTAAAGCTGCTCTTTTTGCAAATTTATCAGCTATTTCATTTTCTTCACTAAGTAAATCTTTACCTTTTTGATGGGCAGGAACTTTAACTATAGCATGTAAACATGGCTCTTGAGACGCAATTCCAAATATGGTCTCTAGTGTCTCTTTGTGTGCTAACACTTTATTTGAGGCATCTACGAACCCTCTTCTTTTCCATATAGCTAAATGTTCTGTAAGTGATCTAACCACATATGAACTATCACTATATATCACTAGGGGACGCCCTTCTTTTTCCTCAAGTGTCAGTACTGTTTTTAATGCTTCTAGTTCTGCTCTCTGTGCTGACAAATGACCTGGCAATTTATGCTCTACTGAATATCCTCGTTTTGGATACCATATAGCATAACCTGTATAGTACTTCCCATCTGAACAGAATCTGGACCCGCCAACAAACACAGGTTCATCAGATTCACTTGCTTCCTTTCTGAAAAGAGAGAGAAAATTCTCTTCAACTTCTGCTAAACATTCATGGGGTTTACCCTCATATTGCATTAGTTGTGGAAGTACATACTTTGCCTTATGTTCTACCTTAATCTGCTTTGGTGATAGAGCTATTAACCATCGTGAAAATCTCTGATGTGACACACCTGGAATTCCTTTTTCAAGAAGTAATTTTAAAGGTGTGTGTGGTGTTTGCAGAATTATGTCCTTGAATCCCACTATGTGTTCAGTTGCCATTACCGCAAAATGTACTCCTACCAAATGTCTGGCACAAATTTCTAGCCCTCTTTCCACTGGGGAAAGAATTTTAGAAAAATATCCCACTATTCTCCATATCTCTTGCTGCAATTGTAATAGTACTGCGGAGACAGCCGTCTCTGAAGTATGTACTTGAATTGCAAAAGATGCAGTTGGATGTATTGTCGCTAAAGCAGGTGCAACCTGTAAATCTCTTTTAAGTACCTCAAATGCATTCTGATGTTCATCTGTCCATGGTCCAAATGAAGATTCACTATTTTTCAAGAGATCATATAAAGGTTTGGCTTTTTCAGCGAACCCTTCAATGAATTCTCTGGAAAAATTCATTAATCCTAGGAACTGGCGTAAGGCCTTGTGTGAAGTCGGTACAGGAAGAGAAGAAATTGTTTTGATTCTTTCCTGCACTGGCTTCTTGTGTCCTGGACCAATTTGTACACCCAAGTATTGTACTTCTGGTTGCATCAGTGTTACTTTGCGTGTATTCAGTTTTAAACCAGAATCCTGCAAAAGGAAAAATAATTCATTTAACAGAATCAGGTGTTCTTCCTCAGTTTCAGTCTGCAAAAGCATATCATCAACATATTGTAACAAGCATTCTGGCCTAGAAAACTTAGACAAAACTTTTGCCAATGCCTGATGAAAATATGTTGGAGAACTGTGAAAACCCTGGGGTAACACAGTAAACACATATTGCTGATTTTGAAATGTAAAAGCAAACTTATTCTGACAACTATGCTTTAGTGGTACAGAGAAAAACCCATTACTTACATCTAGTACTGAGTATACCTTAGCCGTTGACGTCAATCGTGACATTATATCTGGGGTTTCTGCCACCACATGTGCAGAAGGTGGTGTGTATTTATTTAATGTACGTAAATCAATTGTTAATCTCCAGCAATTCGATTCTTTTTTCAAAATTGGCCACAAATTATGATTGCATGGACTATTTGCTTTTCTAATTATTCCTCTCTGTTCCAAATCATTAATGACACTTGCAATGGAATCAATTGAATCTGGGGGTAATCTATACTGCCTCTGTGGGAGTGGATCAGGACCTTGAATGTCAATCAGCACATTTTTAAATCTTCCACATTCATTTTTACTTTGTGCCCATAAATCTGGATAACTCTGTACAATCTCTTTAAGTTCAAGGTTATCCCTAGTATTAGGCCATTGCATTTCTGTAGACACTACATCTACTGGACAAACAATTCCTAGCTCCCCATATTCAGTAGGATCCAATAGCACTGGTTTCCTACCCATAGCATCTTTCCAAATAGCTTTGTTTCCCAAATCTACAATCCAACCTCTTTTTTGCATAACATCTGTGCCTATGATATTATCAACATTTTTGCAGTACCAGATATCAATTTTTGTTTTTAAACACTGAGGTATTTCTAAAGTGACATTATTTACTAATGTTGCCATAGATCCTCCACTTCTGTCAAAACCTACAATTGTACATATAGGTGCACTTGGTGATAAAGGTAGTTGTAAACTAGTTATACTTAACTGAGCACCTGTATCAACAAGAAATTTCGTGTCATAACCTTTTAAAGAACATTTAATGTATGGTCTACCACATCCATCTAAATTTAATGGAGCCAAAAATTCAAGTGGACGTGGCCTGATTCCTTTATATTGTCATTGTGAATTTAAAATTTGGTCAGTCTGATTAGACATGTTAGAAATCACACCCTGTCTGTCTCCTGTGTTTGAGGAAGCTACAATTTCTCTCACTTGCCTTATCAGAGGAGTATATGGTGAATCTCTGGTGTTTTCTATATTAGTATTATTGTGAATAAATCCATTTGATTTGCCATAATCCCTTGATTGTAAATCATAAAAATAACTCCTGCAGTTTCTCTTTATATGACCTGGCTTGTTACAATAGAAACAGACCAGACTATGTGTCGAGTTTCTTTCATAGTGGGAGTGGGGCATATTAAAACTTGGAGCTTCTCTCCTCTTTGTCTGAGTTCTAACAGCTGCAGGAGGCGAGGGTGGGGGGGACTTCCTGTGTCTGGGTTTGTCCTCTCCCCTTTCTCTCCTAACTGCACAGACAGATTTTTTAATATTTTGTTGTCTGGATTCCCTTCTCACCCTATCTAGAAATGATGCAGCATCTTCAATATTTTGACACTGGAGAGCGCATGCAATTGATATTGGATCAAGATATTTAAATTTTTTTACAAATGCATTTACCATAGATTTTGGTGTCTGATCATCAGGAATACTCATTACCAATCTGTATGCACGCTCAAATTTTAAAAGGAGACTGAAGACATCTTCATTTATATTTGGTTTTAAATTTTCTAAAATCTCAATATCCACATGTTCATTTCCTGTTGTTAATCTTATTAACTGTGTCAATCTATCTCGCTCATTCCCATGGACTATTTCATCATCTTCATCATTAGGGGTACTAATGGGTGGGGTCAGTCTACGTGCAATGTATGTTGGCAGCCATATTTTAAACAATCTGTTCCTTTGTTCGTCATTCAAATTATGTTTCAATAAATTAGACTCAAATATGTCTGCATTACCAAAGGCATCCATTGATGGATTATATGGGGGAATATCTTTGGTAACTTTCATCAGCTGCTCTTGAATTTTTAATTTAAGTTTTGCAGCCTTATCTAACAATTTTCTACGTTGCAAATCAGCCTGGGATGATATTTCTGTGACATCAACTTGCTCTGGTATCAAATTATGATCACTCCTTGTAATCACACACAACTGTTTAGCTTCAGTTCTAAGTTTACAAATTAATTCAGATTTAAGATCCAGTTGTTCTCCCAAATCATAAATACTTGCCTGTAGTCTATCACAATTAGTACATTTCATTTCTGTTACACATACAGATTTCTCTTTACTGTCTGTCTGTGTACTTTTTAAATCTTGCACCTTTACTTGTGCTGGTATTTGTAATTTTGTTGGAGCCACTCCTGTTCCAAGGATCATTGTGTCAAATGTTTCTACCAATTTTAAAACATTTCTAATTTTCTTTTTTGTTTTATTTAAACATAACAATTTAGTATCAATAGCTGCATTTGCTTGTTTACATTGTTCATACAAACTTGCCCACAATTGACTATCTGTATGGCATCTATCAAACACAAAATCAAGTTTACTTTTCTCTGCAATATCAGTAACAAAATCCATTATTACTCACCAGACAAGATGATCTTTAATGCATGACACCGTCTGCCTTTAGTCTTACAGCTGCGCAGTGTGGATTTGCTTCTGGAAACTTGCCAATCTCTGCCACGTGCTTGCTTCTAGATTTCACGTTGTATCTTGTGCTGCTTTCTTTATAACACGTGCTTTTGTCTGTTGTAGAATATAATCTTGGAACAGTCTGATTTAAAAATCTTTGTCTTAACACAGCTTTTAACACGTTCTTTTTTCTGAGTTCTGCCTGCACACACTTCTATTCAACACAAAAAGTAATTCGATATCCGTGCTCTCTCTGCTCACCTCCCCCTCTGAATAGAAGTTTGTAACAGCAGAAAACAGTCTGGCTGGCTCGTCAATGTAATAACTGGCTGTGTTTTTCTATAGTTGAATAAGTCTTGTATGTATATATATATATAGATATTTCTTCTTGTCTTCAGTTGATTGATATATATACGTCTTGGGCCAAATGCTCGCCACAATAATATATGTCTATATTATTGAAAATTAGTAATACGCAATCTGACGTTCTTTATAAAAAATGAGTATTTATTCTAAATTCAACAGGAAACAGTTATATATACTTAACAGATGGTAATTCTTAACGATGTTACAGAGAGTCGTCTTGACATCAGAGAGGAGAGCAAACGGATCGTAGCAGGAAGAGAGTGTAATCCTTTGTCCTTGACTCTATATACCCCAAATTACGTCATAATGTTTAGTTTAGACCCTGCCATATAAGGAAGTTCCCTATATAAAGACCGCCTCAAATCTCTTATACAGGAAATTCCAGAGACCTCATATTACAGAGTAGCAAACACCATCTGTTCTGTTTAACCCATTAGACAGCCACACCTTAATATGTATTTGAATAGGAACATACAGAATATGCAATATTCTACAATCATTTACTATATCACGGAAACTTAGAGATGTCACTTATAGGGATAATCTAAGGACCAAACAACTTTAAATTACTGAAGCAGTTTTGGTGTATAGATCATGCCCAATTCTCTGCCATTTAAAAGGAGTTGAATGACTTTGTTTAAAAAACCTTAGCCACTCCTACTCTGA